CTAGATGCATGGGATTTTGCATAGATATTTACAAGAACCTAAACCGCAAATGATATAAATTTCATATATGTTTATTATGTACATTTTTGCGCAATTAACAAAAACAAGTGTTCCAAAACTTTTGTCCAGGTACTGTATATACTTTATATATACTTTTTACTATGTAGCTTAAGTTCTAACGAATACCCATTTAAGTCATGGAATGCTACATTTATTATCGATCTATTTGATCTTCACATCTCTTGGATGAACTCGGGCAAATTGAAAAGAGAAGCATGCTTCCTAAAAATTCGACGAATTTGGAGATTACTTTGCAAGAGGAATGGTCAAAATTTTCTCAAAAAATCTATGAGAAATTAATCAAAAGTATGTGCCAAGGAGGATTGAAGTTCATCTTCACTTAACATACAATTTTATATGCACATTTATTGGAACTTAAGTCACATGATGATATTTTTTCCATGTGAAATTATAAAAACGGGTTCGACCCGATCAGGATCTTTTTCATTACTATTACTATTACAATCACTGAACTTTTGTATTTAGGTAAAGTGACTATTACTATAGTTTTTTATTGAAGTATATAAAATTTCGAGACATCGATTATAGGTCAGTGTTGTGACAACACTGTTTTATGTATGGTAAATTTTGACAACATTTATCAAAAGATTTAAAATTTACAGAGGTCAGACAGATGTTAAAGTTGAGTATTTTTATTCATACATTAATAATAATTGAAATAAATCTATATTGGAATAAATTTTTTTATTAAAGCCATATTAATATCCACAGGCGAGATTCGAAACGAGGATATTTTTAACACTTGCTCAAAACCCGTAACACTGCTTTTTTCCTTACTTGGGATAGATTGTATGATTTTTTAATTAACACAAGTAAGAAACGAAACATTTGCCGTGTCACAACCACCTACCAAAATCAGTAAGGCGGGTGACCTTCGTGTAGGTTTCTCGCCGATTGTCTCCTTTTGCGTTTAGCCGCGCTTGGTTTTTTCGGCTTTTGGCGCGATCAACGTTTTCACCATATTTGGCGAAAATTGTGTCGTACGGCAAATGTTTCGTTTCTTAATAGATTCAATTGCAAGCGTTGCATGCAATGCTTTGCAAGGTGAAGAGAGGCATGATCAATGAACCAGCAAAATTTTATCTTTTTCAAACCTAATTTTTTGGGAAAGAATTTTTTGTTTTCGTTGGGTGGTAAATTTCAAAAAATATTTTATTTTATTTTACTGAAATAGATCTACGTGATTCTTTATTCTTTTTCTTTCTTTGATGATCAAATAAATAAATATCTTTTTCCAACCGAAGAGAATTGTTTAATGAGAATAGATTTGTTATTTTACATTTTAAGAGCTATTTAATCATTCTTATTAATATTGAATTTTTACAATTTTTTATATATAACACGATTGATTAAATATGTAGATGTAACACAATCATAAAAAAATTTATTATTATTTTTCAACTTTAACGTTTAATTAAGGTAGGTGATGGAAGCATTCCTAGTGAAGAACAACTTCAACAACACATAAATTCTTAACTTCCTAATCCACTAAGATAATTTTTTAAATAATATAATAATTTAAGATTACTGGTAGCAGTGTATAAAGTTCAATGTGTAAAATGTGCATTAATTACACCAAAATTTATACACTAACTAATAATAAAAATTCCCTATTTATAGTTGTCATATGATTATTAATCTGACCAATCAATGAATAAACAACGAAATGTTTTATCTACAAATATTAAAAGTTTAGCTCAGGTCTCCTTGATCCATTTGCAGATGCATCAAAAGAAACCAATGTAATTAAGAAATGATGTAATACTTTTATATATGGGTATGAATTCTATATACAATTTAATTTGGAAAATCTTAATTATTCTTATTTTGAATAAATGTAAAAATAACTGATTTTGATGCACTATTTCTTCATTGGCTTGTTGTATATACATTGTATTAATATTTCTAAAATGGGGTTTACTATTATTGTTACGCACGTGATCATCAAAGCATGACGCAGTAAGTAATATAGTAATGAATTTGCTGATTTATTGAATTTTTAAATGGACAAAAATTAACATTGTTACCTTAATATTCATTAAAAGCAACTAAAAGTATAAAATTTATATCAACAGAAACTTCTGATTTTCGGCTTTCTTTTTATCTATTTTCATTCAATCATTATTTAGAAAAGATTCCGTTTTTTTTGATACTGTATGTAAGAAATTCCAAAATTATCAAAGTATATTTCATCTCAGATTGTGTAAAAGGGATTTTCCCGAAGAATCTTTTCCAAAGGATATCAGGCACAAAGGAAACCTACCCAAAAAGATAGATTTCTCATTACTCAAATTGCTTTTACGAGGGAAACAGGACTAACATCATTATTAACAGAATCCATGAAATGAACATATTCTTCTATCCTAAATTTAGGTTTGTTATCACTGAATCGTTAGTGAATGATCCAATAGAAGATGCGGGAAATTTATCATGTGTTTTTATATATTTTTATTAAAATAGAGCTATACAAAAATTCTTCATTCTGAAGAAACATTAAACAGCTTCTGAAGTATGTTTTTATTGTTGTCCTTGCTCTATGAAGGGATTATAAGATTGTTGTCCTTGCTGTCCGAAGGAATTAGATTTTTGCTCTCTAGATAAGTTGTATTTCACAAAACCGAAACAACAGCACAGTAAAATGAGGAATGTGAAAAAAGCTACTATCATATTCCAATGAGTTTTTGAATCAACTGTAACATAATAAACTGTATCGTTAAGGCTTCTCTGGGACTTAATGGTATACTTTTCTTCAGAAAGTCCATAACTGGAATATACAGGGGAACCGATTATT